ATAACATCATCTTTTATACTGTAGCTGCCTTGTAGCTTTTGCCCTGCTTGACATCCCCTAGAGAGAGGGTGTGTGTGGAGTGACTGAACTCAGCTAAAAGCAACATGGCCTCATCTCTGGCACTCCTCACTCCTCACATTGTTGAGAGTGTACAGAGCGTCGACGATACAGAATACAACCTCCCTAATGTCATGTAGCTGAACCACCAGCCCATAATGCTCGGATAGGTTTGAAGACATTTCTGAAGTCAGTTTGGATAGATTACAGTTTTGGTTTTGCAACGACAGTTTATTTTAGTTTTCTGGATTTCAGCCATTTTTACAGGCAACAAACCTGAAGGTCACGTGTTACCTCTTTATGAGTCTAATGTTGTGAAGCTGAGAATCACTGACTTATTAAACTTGTTTCATCAGGTCTGTTGAGGGCATCATAACAATGACATTCAAAGCTGTCATAACAGGCTCAATATGGGACCTCAGCAGTGTCTGACTAAGTAAACTAGGAACATAGTGTTTTCTAACTCTGCTCTTTTATGTTTACAGTGTAAGAGTTCCATTACTTAAAATGTGTTTGTTTTGTTACAGAGGCAACAGTATGTAGAATACAGACAGAGATTTTAAAAAAAATATTTGTTTTCTCTGTGGCGCCGGTGGCACAGTGGTTAGTGCGCGCGGTGAAGCCATGGTGGTTAGTGCGCATGACAACAACCATCCCTGACGCAGAGCTACACATGAGGACGACAGTGACGAGGCCTCAGCTTCAGCCTGCACTCCCGCTACGAGTAATTAAGAGGGAGGAGCGAGCCAGGCAGCATGGAGCACATAGCGTCACTCTTGGACAGCCTGCTTAGATGCTGTTGTTAAGGCATTTTGCTGTAGGCATCTCCATGGACACCCCTTGAACAACATGGGTCCTCCAGACCAGCACTTTTGGATATTAGAAGTATAGCTCCAGGAAATAACCCCTTGTGCAGGAGTGTCTCACCCAACTCGTGCAGTTCATCTTCTCTGCATTCAGCGTAATATCTGGAGTTCTTTCTTCCTTCCCTCTCCTGTTTTGTGTTTTATTTTTGTTGGAATCCATAGACTTCTGAGCGGGTGGCCCAGGTTCGAATCCTGCCTGCGGCTCCTTTCCCGCATGTCATTCCCCTCTCTCTCACCCTGGATTCCAACTATATATACTGTCCTATATCTCCATTAAAGGCATAGAAAGCCCAAAAATAAATAAGTTTTCTCTGTTAGACATTTTTGCAGAAATGGTTTCAGAGGTAGTGGCCGAGAAGAACATCCTGTTTCGTTTCTTTTATAACCTCAATACCATTGTTGTCATTCTCTCTTTTACTGTGCGTGTGTGTTTCCCCTGACTGTCTCTTTCCCTTCACTCTTTTTTTTTTAGTTTTCTCTGTAACCACATGCCCTCTCATTCACTCTTTTACCTTCTACTTCTCTGTATTAGTTGGCACTCCCAATAAGGCACAGCCACATCATCAGTTAGCATGCCCTCCCCCCCCCCCCCCACCAACCCGTGTCATGAAGGAGTCACAGAGAAGAAGAAAAGTGAAGAAAGTGGAAGAAAAAATGACGTAGTTATTACAGCCAAAGTTGTTATTGTTGCTGTCAAAGTCGGATGAGTCAGACTCCGGAGGCTTTCCCAAAACCGCAACAAAGGATCAGAGCCAACATGTGTGACCAAAGAGTCGATCCTCAGCATCAGATAGAAGCATTGAGAGTCTACGCTCCGGGTTAGGGGCACAGATGATTCATTACAAAAGTGTAGACAGGAGCAGGGCTGTGCGATCCATATTTGTGGGGGGATTTTGCTGATAACATGTAAATTGTTTTCTTAAAGGTAACAAAAAAATACTGTGTTGAATTTTACACTTAGTTAAATAAGTTCATAATGATGATGTTAAAACATACTTTTTACATGATTTATTTTCAAAAATAGATGTGAAACATTGCTAATGTAAATGATTTGACAGGAAGTGCTTTTATTTTGAAGCCGCAGGAAATGCAATATGCAATGTTGTTGTTGCTAGCCTGATGTTATGAAGTCGATAGGTTGTGCAGAAGTCTGTGTAGCTTGTTCCTTTCATTCGTAAACTTTAATATCTGAACAGTAAATGTTTCAGTATCAAAGACTTCTGTCATCATGTGAAGACTACACACACAATAACTATCATTTTTTTTTTGCATCCCTCAAAATATGTATTTGTAAAAGTTTTGTATTTAACTTGCTCCGTCTTGTAAATAGGTTATTAGTAATGATATTAATGAAAATAACTTATTAAAGAAAAAGTGTTATAATTTATTTACCTAAAAGTGAGTCATTCAAGGAAATACAATACAAACACTACTGACATCACCAGAGCAAGTATCAAAGAGGCCTGCAGGATTTACTTTGTAAAATATTCCATAAAGACCAACAACACTGTAACGAGAGTATTTAAAACTGACACTTACTCGTAATGTAAACAAGGCATGAATCCAAGGCAAATAAGACAATCATCTTATAATATTTAAATATTGAACTACGAGGTATAAACATTAGAACATGGATTAACATTCAACTCCTCTGCTGTACGGTGAAATGTGCAGCATACAGCCGAAGCAAGAACAAAAATTTAAATCTCCAAATCCAAACTTCAAATGTCTAATGTCGCACAGATACCAGAAAAAAACAACAATTTGAAACCTAAAAGATGTCCTCTTCTTCAGATTGTGGCATCATATCCTTTGCAGTGTAATTGGTGACAGCATTTGTTTGTTATTCCTTGCCATCTGTTGCCCTTCCTGTCATGAGGCACTGTGGCTGAATGACCCTGCCAAAGTTTGCTGACAGTGTTTTTGTGTTGCCGGCACTTCAGCTGGATGGCAGTGGTCAACTGCTGACTCCTTTTGACATTCTGCATATTCTGTGTGGTGGTTGATTCACACAGGGTGAAATAAGTTAGCTGTTGTTTTTATTTATTTATTTATTCAATTTGTTGTGGGGCTTTTATTTGATAGGACAGTGGATAGCATAGGAAATCAGGGAGAGAGAGTGGGAAATAACATGTGGGACAGGAGCCACAGGTTGGACTTGAACCCGGGCAGCCTGCTCGGAGTACCAAAGCCTCCGTACATGAGGCGGGACCTAGCCGCTAGGCCATCTGCGGCCCTGTTTGTCATACCACCTCTCCATGCAAGCGGGGATGATCCACAGCTAGCTACTAAATCTTAACAATATCGATTCGGAGGCTGGTGGTGTGTCTCCTGGCTCTACGTCTTCATGCAGTGAATGTGTCTGAACTCTAAACCCTCATGGCCCAAAAGAGCTGAATGACACCTCACTCATAAACCATATAATTCTTTCATGGCAACATGAATCGCATATAGTACTATCTAAGAGTGGGGTTTGAGATCTCATCTCTAACTCATTTCACTGAAAATATGGTCAATTTTGAATATTGCCAGTCAAAACAGCTGTTCTAGATTTTCAAATAAGGTGGAGAAAAGTCTGAAACAGTTTAAACAAACCGAAAGGGTTTAAATTCAGCTTTTGCTTGAACTATACATGCACATGTTCAACAACAGATTCATTGCAAGACAAAGTTCTGATATGAGTCGGTGCAGGGCAGGTAAAGACGACAGCGTCTATGAGACTGGAAGAAGTCAATTAAAATGTAGTGTAGTGGAAAGAAATGGTCACCTTTTAAAACTGGTTCCCTTTGGGGGAAATTAAGCTTTAAAAAACTTATAAACATGTATTTAAATCACAAGAAGTGCAGGAGAAAAAGCTCATATTGAATTAGGTACAGCTTCACTATACATTTGAGAGAAGTGCATCCGTTTTGAGGATTGCGCTGTAGTGCTTTTATGTATTTACATCCAGAAAGTATTTTTTAAATGTGCTCTTTATGTAAGAGCAGAATAGTTTCGCAGCTTGAATGCAGTCTCATTAAAATATTTTTTTCTTTCCCCTTTTTCATATCCGCCACTCTTGTTTCTTGTTCTGTTTCTTTGGTTGGTGGTTACTTTCTCCAATTTCCTCTCTGCCAGAATGTGTGTACGCACGCACGCTCACGCATACAAGAGCACACTGAGCCTGAAGAGACAGTTTTTAAATTGTTCAGGTTTGCTCGTGTATTGTTTTTAACTACACTTAGTAGATTTCTTAATTGGCGAGGCTTCGAGCAAAAAGTAGAAAATAAGTGGACAAAAATGTTTTCTTAAAAATGCAAACCAGCTCTTTTTATTCATTTGTTGCATTTCTTTACATGTGTGTCATTATTGCCTTGAAGACAAAGTACTGTGCTGATATTATCTCCATCCTGTTTGCTATGAACATGAACCGAATTCCAAACAAGGATTATTTCTGTGTCCATGGATTTATAATCTTAAATCTGATGAAGGTGAAATAATTAGAATCTTTTTGATAAGAATGTTGTTCAAGGGAACAGCTGGAGAGATTAGAAGTGAATGTGAAGGATACAAGAGCTTTCAGTTTATCAAGGAGCTTTGGGGACTTTTATTTTTAAACCAAGAATAATGTTGGTATTTACCATGCACTCTGAGTTTTACAAAAAGGTGATAAATACTTAATCTTCTCAAAACTCCTCTGAAATCACATTCATAATTATACTATCGCTCCTAAGCAAATGCCACCCAGCAAGCACAGACGCAAACCTAACCGCAATGCATGTATTCGCGTAACCACCAGTGTTGCCTCAAAAGCCCCAGCTTTCTGCCAGCGGAGGATACAACATGTACAGAGGTCACACTAAATATCACACCCCTACTCACACTTTCGTATCATCTACAAAGCTCACATCCTCATTCAGTCATTCACTCTAAAAGGAATGTTTGTGAATGCATTATTTGTGTAACTGCTTTTTTATTTAGTTAACTCTCTTTCAAACAGAGTTAAAGCTCACTTAACCTCTCTGTTTTCTTTCTCTCTCTATCCCCCCCCCATATTTTCTCTATCTCCCTCTCTCTCTCTCTCCCTTATGTGCTCAGTGGTGTACGAGCATCGCTCCAGGTTGGAGAAGTCCCTTCAGAAGGAGAGACTAGAGCATAAAAAAGCCAAAGAAGGTGAGAAAAATAACGGCTACACTCAATTCCAGCTATTCTACTCTGACTGTCCATTAGGAGACACTTTGGGGAATTCACATCACATTCTGAGACAAGTTATAGTATTTTTCACAGCAGTCTAATATTTGTTCTGGCATATTCTAAGACCTTTACTTCTTTGGTGACAGTACTATACAAGTCACTTTTATCAGGATTATTAAACACAATTACTCTTTTATCTACAACATCTGCATCACATGAATTAATTAAACAGTTAATACTTTAACTTTCAAACACTTTGAAACATTTAGCAGACCTGACAAAAACTGGAGAAAACGAGTGCAACACAGCATGCAGCAAAATATTTTTTTCATCTCGATGACTTGTTTTTCAAAATCTTACTTGATATTGAAGTAACCTTAACATCTGCAGGATCGGGTCTACACAGATTTATAACAGTATTTCCCACAGGTCGTTCCCCACTCTCTCTCTCTCCATGATTTCTGACTATCTACTGTCCGGTCCCTCTAATAAAGACACAAAAAGCCAAAAAGAAATCTTAAAAAAAAGTAAAAACAGGGGTGGCTGTGGTTCAGTGGTAGAATTGGTTGAATGTTTGCAGTTTGATCCCCAGCTGTCTTCTCTTTATTTATAATAAATGTATCATATATATCATTCTGGTTCTATTTCTCAGATTATCTGGTTTATAAACTTGAATCACAACAGTCAATCAACAAGGAGAAGGTAAGTTTTCACATAATAACCTCTGTTATAATTATCATCGTTTACTTTTTATAGGCCTTTTTGGTTTGTGTCTTTTTCTCTCAGTCTGATTGAAGTATCTGTTTTGTAACTTTAATTGGTTTTTTTTTAAAGCAGTGTACAAATACTGCTGCTACAAACGTTAGCATTCAATATAATTCATGTATTCTCCATTACCTGATGTATCAGTAACAAAAAGCCCGAAACACAAAGTCACACCTGTGTTTTTCCATGTTTGCACAACATGTTTTTGTTGTTGTCGTTTTATGTTCCAACAGCAAGACTCCAACAGCAAGTTCAATTCTCTCCAAGTGCAGCATCAGATGCTGAAGGTACAGATCCTGTTGATCATCTCATTCACAAACATATGCTTACCCAGATGGTTTATTCTTTCCATTAGCCCTGACACCCTCCTGTTTTTCATAACCACATGCACTTCCTGTGACCTTAACACATCTGTGGGGTGAAGTTCAACTGATGGGTATCACCTTTGTTTTCATGAATGTGGTTCTTTTTGAAGATGAGAAAGAAGACAAAACATGTCCTTGCAATGACGACCGTGTTTGATTCCTATCAGAATCAGCATGAAGACCTCAAGAAGCAGTATTACGAGCTTCAGGACCAGCACCAAGTTCAGGTCGACGAGCACAGCCGGCTGCTGGGCGAGCACAAAGAGCGCTACGAGAAACTGCAGCAAGTCAAAGAGGGGGAAGTCTCTCAACTCAAAGGTGCTGATAGTCATTATTGTTTATGTACCACTTCATTACACACACACACACACACACACACACACATGCAGTGTAGTTGTCTCATCATTAAACATTCTTACTTTGTCTCCATCTTCTGACTGGATTAAATACTGCATGTCTAAAGCCATGTACATGTGTGCATACTGTCAGCTCAAGAGAAGAAAAGTTTTATTGTGCTCGTCTTTGCTTCACAGTTTCTTAAGACAGCTTCCATATCGCTGTTAGTGATATAGAAATGTCATGTGTCTGATGCTTTGAACAGAGAGGATCCGTTATTAGTATCATGTGTAATAAGGATTAGAAAAAAGAATCAAGATATCGACATTAGATTCTATTTTATGTGTTGCACATGTGTTTCAGTAGAATCCTGTTTTAGTTGATGCATGTGATGTTTTGTGCTGTGTGTGCTGGCAGAAAACGTTTATAACCTGAGAGAGGAAAATAAACAGCTGAGGAAAGCCCATCATGAAATCCACACACAGCTACAGGATGCACAGGTGAGACTTAAACATTTTGATCATTAATATAAAAGTCTTTATTGAAAAGGAAAGTTTACTTACAGTCCTCGGTTGCTCTGGTGTGTTCAGGTTCGTCATCAGGACCTGAAGACGTCCCATGACCTTCTTGCACTGACACTTGAAGACCACAAGAGTGCGCTGGCTGCAGCTCAGGTACAGAGATGTCGACTCATTGTGAACTCACAGTCACTACACTGTCAAAACAACGGCCGATTGATGCAACATTTCTGTTTTACAAGCAATTTGGTTGCTTTGGGTTTTTTTTTTTTTAAGTCAAGTGTTGTAAATGTAATTGTCTGGAGTACTCGAAGGATACAGAGACTGTTACTGCTTTTCAGTTTCTGTCGTTCAGGTCAAGTGCAAAACATTGTGTTCCTCTCAGCCTTACTTTAACCTTTGTTCTCACCTTCTCAATAAAGCAGGTCAAATGGTTGTTACAGTAGACCGTGTTAGCACAAGTGGATGGGAAAAAAGAGGCCTGGGTCTCGCTTAGTTTTGGGGAAATAAGATCAGATCTCTCCCTCTCTTTCTCCCTTCTCTCTCTCTCTCTCTCACTGCCTCACTCTCTTTCTCTCTCACACACACACACACACACACACACACTGAAAACTCTCTCCTTCACTCCAGGGGGTTTGGGTAAGTCAGGGCTGTCTGAGCAGTGTAACAATTCAGCCAATTAGCCAGAGAGACATAACGGAGGGAGTGGAGTGAGACGGAGATAGGGGGGAAAAATGAACCCCTTGTCCTAGTATTAAAGTATATGTATATATAAGATATTTGTCTTAGGCCCATAATTCATCAGAAGACCTTTAACTTGACACAGTCTTGTAGTAAATATGTCTCACTAAAGCCTAGGGAAATCTGGATTCTTTTTAGACACAGATTAAACATTTAACTCTTGATGGAGAGCATCACATCAGCACCAGTATCAAACTATTTCAGCAGGTATCCAGCCCATTCTGTCACAAATCCCAATGATTTTATAATCAATAACTTTTCTGCACTCTTAAAGTTCTTAAAGTTTGATTGATTGATCCCAGAGTTTCACAGATGTAAGAATACTGATACTTAAGCAGCAACATGCACGTCCCCCAGGATTTTCTCTCTTAAGCCCTTCATTGGTTGTGTATGTTGTTTCTTTTAGGTTCAGGTGGATGAATTTAAGCAGCTGAAAGATTCCCTGAACAGGGTGCCCAATCCAAGAGAGCCTGAGCGAAACCCTGCTCAAGCAGCTGCCGTAGCTCCTGAGTCCCATGTTCAAAGCCAATTACTTGATCATCCACATAAAGATGAACCAGTCCATGAGGAAGTTCATCAGGACACTGAGTCCAGGGTAATGTGGGATTCTTTGGTATCCTTCTGATATGAAGGCAAGAGTTACTATAAAACTATAATAAACTCACGTTCCTCTGTCTTTGATTTGTTTCAGTTGAACAATCAAGAAGAGGAGGAGCATGTTAAGTCTCAGCATGCTTTGTCAGAAAAAGAGGAGGATGGAGAGGGAGAAGCAGAGAGGAGGAGGGAGCTGGCGGAGGAGGAGATGGCTCAAGCAGGACAGCCTCAGAAGCTGGAGGAGGATCCTGATCAACCTCAGGACGAGCAGCAAGAGGGAGAGGAGGAGCCACAACAGCCGGACGAGAACGCCCTGGATCGACAGAGACGCCAGCCGCTACCGGTCAGAACTGGTTTAGGCTTTAGTCTTATTCAAACCCAGTTAAAAGGGATGTTGACTGTGTTAAGTTTTTCTGTTTATCTTTCAAAAGTTGCAGGTTCAGATTGACTTAAAATTCAACTCATTTTAAACAGCAGTTTCTTTGAATATTTTTTTACCACAGCTGTGGAAACCTTTGAATAATTTATTAGCAATGTAACCCATGGATTTGGTCACTTTGGGAGCATAACTGCTTCTCTTATTGAAGGGCTTATAGTCCTTTAATCCCAGAGGAACTGCAATAATTTACAACCTTTGCTCAGTGTTAACTTGTTTGACAGTGACAGCAATCTCATACTTTGTTGTACTATTATTTTTAGGCTAACATCTTTCAATTTTTGCCAAAGGATAAAGGATTCCAAGTTTTTGTCACAAATTAGCACCAACTCTTTGTGTTTGGTTTGCTCATTATTTATTATCTCTCCCTGTTCTTTGAAGAAAAAAATCAACGTTTCTTTTTTTAAAGGTTGTCCATCCAGAGTCCCAGCTGCAGCGCGAGGCCCACGCCCAGGTCGAACGTGTAAAGTCAGCGTATGAGCAGCAACAGGAGCAGCAGCGTCTGGAGGCCCAGAGGGCTGAGCAGCGCAGGCAGATCCAGCTGCATCAGGAGGCCCTGAAGGCTCAGAGAGACAGGGTGCTGAAGGAGAGGGAGCAGAGGCTGAAGGCGGAACAGGAGAGGGAGCAGCAGCAGCAAAGGGATGCCGACAGAAGAGAGCAGCTGCTGAGAGAGGAGCACCAAAGGTCAGAATTGAAATCAGTTGGAACTTATAATCAAGTGCAGAAGAGAATGGCAAAATTTCTACACTAAGGGTGCACTCACACCATGCAATCTGTACCGTGCCTAAGCATGCTTCACCCTCGTACGCTTTGAAGAGGTGTGCTTTGGCACGGTACAGTTCATGCACAAGAACTGGTAGACAACGGGGACAGCCTTCATTATGGAGAGATCCTGGAGTGTTGTGGCTGTATCAGAGTAAAATGACTCAAAATAAGCCACAAAGTCAGTAAAGTAGTTGTCATGTTCTCTGTGTTGTTCTCCGATGTGTGGATGCAGACTCGACTGTAACGCCCTGCATGTGTTGCATTAAGACGTTATGTACAGAGGTACCGTGCTCAGGCCTGGTTAGTCTTGGAGCAGTGTGAGTGCAGGCCAGCAGGGGGGCGGGGAAGGGGAGCAATCAAGATTAAGCATGTTACGTGACAACTGGGCCTAGTGTGAATGCACCCTCAAACTATGTAATTAGTCAACATTTTTCAAGAACAAGATCGTGAAATGGACTGCAAACACGTTTTGTTTCAACCCAGAGTTTAATTTTTGCTACATTGAAATTATGTTTTTTTTAATCTTTATTAGTCCTCTTTGGGGGAAGGTGAACACGTTTATGACACAAACCTTCTCAAGCACTTTTCATAGAAACAAATAGGTGGTTCATTGATGGGTAAAAACGTGTCCAGCAGTATGTTTGATAACTGTTCCTGACATGTAAAGCTCTGTTTGAGTGTGTCTTCTGTCTGCCTTATCACTGTTGTTTTTAGAAAGAGGACAGAATATGAGAATATGGACAACGACATTGTTCAGGGCGAAGAGGACCGTCACACTGATGATGAAGAAGGTGAGACAACAGGAGATGAAACTGTCAGATCATATACTCATAGAAGCAGTATGGCATTAGTATTTATTTATTCATTTTTTTGCTTTGTTGTTTATGTTCACAGAGAGAGATGTTCATATGTTACATGATGACGAGGAGAGACAAGAAGCGGACCCCAGGGTGTCTCCTCATCAGCGGGTGACTGCGTGCTCCATCTGTTAACACGTGCATCCTCATCGGCTGTTCATTCTTTCAACACGTTCAGTCACTTAACATTCACACCAGTGTATCGTGTGCCATGTGTCCATTCAGCCATCCATCCACCAATCAATTCTTTCATCCTCCCTGTCCGCTGCAACCCCACCACACCACACCACCCCCCCACCCCACCCCTCGCACATTCATCTTCTACTTGTCTGTCATCCCAGTGAGCTATTAAATCTCCTGAATAGCAACAAGGCAATTAATACAACATTAAAGAACACTAACGACCACAATCAGCTTTGATTTATTATCCTCCATGCTGCAGCTTTATAACATCCTCATTATAATATTAATACAAACATCAACCCACTAGTCCCTGTATTATTGTCGTCCTGTATTATTTAACTACTCTAATCCTCTGTAGGGTGCTGGGGAGGGCGAGATAGACCCTGAGGACGATCCGAACAACCAGGGAGAGGATGAGTTTGAGGAGGCCGAAGATGAGCCGCTGCAGCAGCAGCAGCAGCACAAGGTCACTGTGGAGGAAGAGGAGGTGGGAGAGGATGATGAGGAGCCTGCAGCACCAGCCCAGCACAAAGACGCGCATAAAGGACCTGAACAACCTGCTGTGGAGGAAGAACTGGTTGTGAGTAACACAATGAAGGGACAATGTGGGACAATATACTTAGCTTTTAACAGACCCAAGTTCAGATATTATTATTAAAGCGAAAAGGGGGGAAAAAAATGAAAGTCTGACCGAGATAAAAGATTAGAGAATGAAAAGGTCTGTTTGAGAATGGGAGAGAGAAGCATTCATAAGGTCATGTTTAGGGCCCTGTGTCCACCTTGCGTTTCTTTTCTAAACGGCAGCGTCTTTTTTTGATTTTTTTTCAATTGGTAGAGAGTTAGCAGCTGCAGGCGGTCGCCTTTTTTCTGAGCGCTCCGCCTTTTTTGTGCGGCCTCTCGATGTGCTCAAGTGCTCAAATCCTTTAACTTTTCAGAAAGTAACTGTTTACTTCACGGGCGCTCTTTTCCAAATGTATAATAATATTCCCTGTATATTTGCCTCCTACTGAGCGTGTCTTGTACCCACATCATTGCACATTCATGCAAGTGCTTCCGAGCATGCTTTTCTGCCCTGAAAAAACGCTAGGTGGACACAGGGCCTAACATGTCAATACGCACTAATGGTGCTCAGATTGGTATAACAGATAGGAAATATCCACAGGATGTTTGACATAAATATTGTGAAGTTGTGATTTAATGTGCTGGTGCCATTTGTTCAGATTGCTGGAAATCCAGATCAACAGGAAGACGCACTGGATGACCAGTACCAGGAGGAAGTAGAGGACGAGGTTTGTCACATTCATGCTCATATAGACTATTACAACTACCGTGTTTGACTCTGACAAATACCACTTGGAAAACATCAATTGTTCAAACTTTTGCTCCTACAACTATTTGAATGTAACTCTTTTTTTGGTGGGTGGTGTCTTAAAGGCTCAGGAGGACATAGCTGGTGGGCAGAAGGGGGAGGAGGAGGTTGAGGAGGAAGGAGAGGATCCATATAATGAGGAGAACTTAGAACAGGTGGGTTCTTCTACAGAGAACAGAAGTTCTGTGTGTTTAATCTAGTTTAAAGGAGATCTATTATGCTGATCCATTTTTAAAAACATACGAATAATGTTACGATATTGGATGTCGATACTAAACCTCAGTAAGGTTTTTTTAAACACAATTGTTGGCGTAATCCCCGGACGTGGTTTCCTGCTGCTCTGAACGAGATGTTAAATATCTTCTTGAGACTTGTCTAGAACCTGCTGACGTATTAGAGCAAAGTTGTAGGACGTGCCCAGCCCAGCAGCTCTGTCAAGGACACGCCTACCTTGAAGCTCACTCAGATTTCCCTGTGACTGCAAACAGAGCTGGCCTGTCGGAGGAAAGTGGGCATGTGTGGAGAGGGGCCTTAAAGAGACAGTAACTGAAATAAATAGTTTCAGGCTGAGGCTTAATGAGGGATTTTTCCGACACCAGTATAAGATAATTACGTTTTAACTACATATCTCCCAACACTACTCAATAGGTGTCCCAGACTGACATAATTAACGGTGAAAGTTAGTATGATAGATCTCCTTTAATCAACAGCGTTGGTTACATCGCTTTTTGGCCAAACGCGCTTTAATAGACTAAACTTTTGTTTGGTTGTTTACTCTGTTTACTGTGTTTGTCTCTTGTGTTGCTGTTGGTGATGCTTGTTGATGTTAGCAATTCTTAACTGTGGTGGTTAACTACTTTAGAGGCTTTAGGGGAGATGAAGAGAGGTAGGTACTTACTTTCAAACTTATTGTTTTTATTTCAGCCAATCAGTCTCAAGTCTCCTACATATAAATTAGTGGAGACAGTTAGAAGCACCTTAGGATGGAAAAGGATCAAAGAATTGTCCCAGTCACCTCTCTATAGTTACATTTCATTTTCAGCTTGGATTGTGTTCTGGAATATAATCCCAGTTATTTTCTCATTTCTACATATTGCATTTTTTTGCATCAGAAGGTAATACTTACGACACCAAGGTATCAGCTGCGTTGGCTGCACTCGGGGATGAAGTTGTGTCACCGTGTGTGTGTGTGTGTGTCCATGTCCGTGTTTTGTCCCTGTAACTTGACTCTTCCCTCAGCATGTTCTGATAAATGAGGGAGATCAGGTGGATGGTCTGCTGCCGGGTGTCTGGTTACCACCCCAGCTTGCTTTATTTAATTTATCCAGAGAGGAAATCTGTTTTAATGGAGAAGCTTCTGCACACATTTTTAGACCATCAAAAACAAATGTTGAGTATTTACTACTCTTGATTAAAACTTTGATTAAAGGGTTATGATAAGTAGTTTGGACTTGATATTACTAAGAAGTCATTTAAGGAAGTGATCTTGAAAGTTGAGTAATGATAACTAGCAGTCTTCAGTGTCCTTGAGTAAGACATACGACTCTCTACTACTCTCTGTTGTGTAACTGACCCTGACCTCGTGATGAGTGACATTTATTTATTTATAACCCCCACTTTTGTCATTAAGGGCCTTTTTTGTGCATGTTAAAATCATTTAAGTCCAAATGTGTGTTATAATATAATATGTATATCATAAAAGCTGTGTAAACTTAGATGAGATTTTCTTTAAGATGAAATAAGTGAGAGGATTAACTCAATATGACTGTGGATGTGGATGTTCTTCTTCTTGTGTTTTGTATACAGCTGGTCACCTACTAACTGAATGTTCTTGTGTTGCTCCGTAATTTGAGCTCAGTGGAGCTTTCATTTCATTCAGCTTCATTCATCCACTGCTGCAGTTTCTGTTTCAGTTGACCCTTTTCACAGGTGTCACTGCTTCTGTTTGTATCTAATACAATTCAAGTCTGTGTCTTACGATCCCATCGACGGATAAGCAGAAGAAAGATGCTACTTTGTGAAAAATCCTCAGACAATCACACCATAGATTCAAGAGGGAAGATGTTTCACATGCCAGTGTTAGGCGGCCTACATCATTTTCTATCTTCTCCTTCTATGTATAAGGGCATTCAACATTATATCATTTTTCACAAGGGAAATTGTCATGAAGACGGTAGAATTTTCATTTTTTTTGTGTTTTGTCATTTGTTTCAGGATGAGGTAAAAAATCAAGAGGTACAAAGAAAGGATGTGGCTCATGGAAAACAGACAGAGAATAATGAGGAAGAGAATTACGAAGAGGAAGAGGAGGAAGCAGAGGATGAAATGGCGGGTAAGGACAAGGGAACCAATAGGAGGGCAGAGATGTAAGCTGGGACGCAGACTTTGACCAATTGCAGTGCCTTTTTTGGCTGCCCGTAGAGCCTATCAGGGTTTTTTTTTTCGTTTTATTTTGCTCGTTTCCCAAAGGAATTAAACCAGCCATCCATTCAGAAGCCTTATTTGGAAAATTGTGATCTCATGCCTGAAAGATGGGATGCAGTTCAAAAACTGTAGCGATGGAACTGAGAAGCTTACACTGTGGAAATGGACATGCGTACATTTTGGGTGGAAATGGCATGTATACTGTATTTTTTTATTTTATTCATTTGCCTTTCTGTCTTCTCCCACGTCTGCCTGTTTGCATGCCTGGTTCAGTTTAGAAGCAGCAAACAGGCAGAGAATGTATTTTTATCACGAGCTGTCTTTGAGTATGTATAAAGAAAGTGACGATAATTGATGTTGTGTTATTCTGATTTCTTTATGTTCAGGCTTTTATATGTATGTATGTTTTCTTTTTAGTGTTCAAATTTTAATTGATATCATTCCAATCGATCCAGTTGTTTGCTGTTATTTATTTTTTATTGTAACATCTCTGACAATCATAAAAAAGGTCCAAAAATGTCCTTTTAATTTAAGACTGAACTGATTTGTTACACGAGTGCTTTTATGTACTGACGCACAGGACTATTTTTAGTGTATATTTCTGCAAATGCCAGTCAAAGAGATATTTCTAGTGAAGCTGTTATGTAAGGAAAGTGTCACAATGACATGTGCCTTTTACATTTTCAGACACCTCTTCTAGGTCTTAGACATTTTTAACTTGGAAAAGCATATCAATAGGACAGGAGCGATAAGAGCATGCCAGGTAGAGCTGAACCTCTTGCATAGTGCTTAAGCACGGCCTTATATGGAGTGTCTGTGTGTCACTTAAACTGCTGGTATGAATTCAATTCACAAACGTTATGCAATTCACTTCTTTAGTATACTGTTGTACAATGTATAGTTCAATAAATGATGACAATTTGTACATTTTCCAACAGCTATATTTGATACAATAAAGTGGGATTGGATGGGGATGAACCATGTCTGTCACCTGAATGGTATGTATGTGTGAAATAAAGAGGTTGAAGAGTAAGGGATGAATGTGTTGTTAAACTTTTGGAGTTTGATGTTTACACATAAGAAACCCCATAAAGGGTTTCTTTATGGGGCGGCTATGGCTCAGTCGGTTGTCTCTAAACTGGAGGGTTGGGGGTTAGATCCCCAGCTCCTGCAGCTACATGTCCGATGTGTCCTTGGGCAAGACTCTTAACCCCGATTTTGTCCCGCTGCTTCGTTGGCTGTGTATGTATGTGTACGGAATGAATGGGATTAGTTACTTTCCAACCTTTGCCCTGCTTGAGCTAAAGCTCTGAACTTATAACTGCTCAAATATATAAACAACTGGGTCATCTTCAGCTGCTGTAAAAAGATCTGAAGCTCAAATATTTCAGCGTTACTCATAGAAACTGCCTTAATGACTGAAAAGTACAAAAAGATAATTTCATAGTCTTTTACAGACTGAGATAAAAGTTTTTTTTATGGGGCTGTCATGAAACATGGAGTCTTTTGTCTTTTTTTTTTTTTTTACATAGCAACCTCTGACATCAGTGTGTGAATGGGTATGAATGGGTAGGTGTGACATGCGGTTTAAAGCGCTGTACAAGCTCAATTCCATTTATCTTTTTAGAAAGATTGTGCAATCATTTCATTACAGGCCTTGGTTAAGCTTTAATTCCATTCACAAATAGCCTATAGGTAATGTTAGGATGTGTGAAAAGGACACTTATGCTTTAAGCTCTGAAATTATAAAACATTTAATTTATGAATCAGCAGGAAATGTATTGTTTGCATCCATTTGTCAAAAGTATGTGAATATATACAGTTCTTAGCTTCTGAGTGTTTTTACATGAATATTTGTTAGAAATGCACAGCTTAAGGGGACTCCTCCACAGAACTGTTGATTGCTGCTGTTTTCAAATCAGCACCTGGAGAATCCCATGACAGATCAAGAAAAGGTTGTTAGGATACTCCTCTTCTGTCCTGTTGCCTGACATGGCTAATAAAATGGATGGATGGACATATTCAGTATTTTCAGTGAGCTTATTTGATGTGTGTGCAATTATCCTTCAGGTCCATTTCCAACAGTGGCAAGACGATCATGAATGTTTCATGCAAGAGGGGGAAAAACATCATAGCTGTTTTTTGTTAACTAATCCCTTCACTTGTCAGTAGATCCAGTGTTCACTGTAAGCCAAGACTGCTTCTAAGATATAAATCATGCCTGCTCTGTTCCTTCCTTTTTTCTGCTTGAGACTAGAGAGGTGAGATGATGGTGTTGTGTGTCTGCTCACAGATGATGAGATGAACCCACAAATCAGGCTGAAATGAAAATCAAACGAGAGGAGGTTGACTGATATAGGCAATTACCTCTAATGAACAGAATTTGTCCCAAGCGCACAGTCTCAATCAAATCATCCCTCTACCTCTCAGTCTCTACATCTCCCTCTCACTTCCTGTCACCACTTCCCTCTCTCTGCCTCCTTCCCCCTCCCCTCCTTACTCTTTTTTTTTTTTTTTTTTTCCTGTCATCATTCGTCTATGCTGCTGTGAGTTTGTTGATCTCCCCAGAGGGCTTGTGGGATACTGGATGAGTACAAGAGAAACAGGTGTCTCATTACTGCGCTAATAGCAGGCCACAGGGAGACACAAACACACAGTGACAAGCAATGGTAGGGATGAAAACTCCTCCACATTCCTCATATTCGTGTACTCACTCCACCATCATTTCATGGGTGATTTACCAGGCATGAATAATTCCAACATGTGATGCCTGGAACTGGAGGCTATATTGAGATGCATACCCACACAACTGCCACCAAATCTTCCATTTAACACCAGCTCAAGATTTACTTGAAGGCAGGAGCTCCAAGCCATGAGAAAGTTTATATTTCCCACGTATGTTTTTTGGGGGAAAATCAACTCAAAATAATCTTCTATTTTTATAACAAGGATATTGGGGGAAAAAAACCAAAAATTAGCCACAAAGATTATTGACACCTTATGGAAAACATGGCTTGCTTACCAGGATATGGTTTTGCACCACACAAGAATCCTGCAAGCTCACTATGGTCTCTGTGCAGCAACTCTCATTCATCAGCTACAGGTCAATCTCTATCTTTATCTCTTCACACACACACACACACACACACACACACACACACTAAAGATATGCAATTGCACAAACAAGCTTGCACACTTAAACAAACCCCAATGAGGCATGTAACTAGTAGTTAATGTGCCTGGCTGTATGCTTGTAGTTAATGTGCCTGGCTGTATGCTTGTTAGAGAGATATCAGCTGCCTAGATTGTGTGTCTCAGTGTTACTGTGAGTGAAGAGAAGGCGAGCGCTGTTTGTGTGTGTGCACCAGTTCATACTTGAGACGTGTGTTCAGCATTCATACTTGTGTTCAGCAGTATCAGATAACAAAGTGTGTTTATGTTTCAGGTGCAACGCTGAAAATGAAACCACTATTAAAGAATATGCTGCTGCTGCTGCATTGTATGAATAAATCACCTCCAGCTTTGACAGGCGGGGCGGGGGGGCAATGTGTGTAACCTCTGCAGCATTATTTAATGTATGACAGCAACAAAGCCTTTTGCTTTATTCTTTTATCCAGAAGACTTTGCAGAAGCAAGAGTCTATTAGTTATAGATGGAATAAAATCCTGCAAATTAGAAAGCTTTGCCAGCTACAAGGATTGCTCTTTTGTGTAACGTTTTGGTGTGCATGTGTATCCATGTGTGTGACCTGCTGCATGAGGCTCATGGGTCATTACCCGGTCATCAGAGGACACAAGAAGCCATTATCCCAGGGAGTCAGGAGACTAAATGTTTGATAAGCCTCAAAGCGGAAGTCTTGTTACTCTCCTCAGATAAAATGGATCTACAATAAAGACACAGCAACTCATTACAGAATCAGAAGTAAATCAAATAATCAATCATGTAGTTGAATGTGATGTCTGCGTAGCAGGAGCAGCTAAAACAATTCTCAAAATGCAACTTTGTTCTGGGCAGCTTTGAGCACACTGAGGATTGTGTGGCTGTTCCTTTAACAAAGTCCTGACAGATGCTAACTTGGTAGAAATGAGTCATAGAGCATAATGATACGTTTTCTTGCTCTTCATAGTTTCATAACCATTCCATACTTGAAAACAAACTGGAGTAAAAAATAAACTGCTAAAGACTTAAATGGTATTTCCTATTTATTATCAAAACGTGGGTAAAAAGTGTAAGTACAAAGACATGAATAATAACATACAGAATATTAAAAAACATTTTGAATTTCTGTTACATCTCATTTGACAGCACTGACAGTCTGGCCTAAAATGTGTTTTTCTCCAACTAGTGGTGCATTTTGTATTTTCTTCTGAACAGCCTGATGACAATTTTTGTGCAATGATGGGACATTTTTTCCAAGGTCCTCATAAACACAACTCTCTAGAGGGTTGTCATAAAATGTTGCACATTCTGGTGCTTTCTGGGAAATGTTGCCTGGTAGGAAGAGAATCTTCTGGCAGCTTGGGGATTCCATCCAGGACCTCCAGCTTTGGCAAACACAGGAAAACTCTTCACAGAGAGAACAGCAGAGGAAGGGGGTGAGGAACAGAATATTGGTTAAATCAACCTTATACAAACATTTTTTTCTCGTAATTTGCCAACTGTCGTCATGCTTTGATGCACTCTACTTCACTATCCCCCCGGTCCTCACCGTGAACGGTAGTCCTGAGTGAAGGTCACTGGGTTGCGACTGAGGCTGAGGGAGCGGAGCGGGGTGTTTTCCAGAGTCCCCAGTCCCCGAAGGGAGCTGATGGCATTCTCAGAGAGGCATAGGTGCTTCACAGCCGGAAGCCTTGGCAGCTGACGCAGACATACCAGGTGGTTACGCTGCAGGTTGAGTGTTCTGCACCTGCCCAGAGGAAACATAAACATGGCTTAGCTTTCATTTGTGTTAAGACTTAAATCACATCACTCTAGAATGCTTAAGAGGGATAAAACAACTAGTTTAATACGGGTAACAGATTGCAATTGTGCTGGTTGTTTGACAGTTAAGGCAGTCGTTGTGCAACCTGGTAAGTGTGATTCACACCTTGGCAGACGTACAGAACTCAGATTAGTCAGGGAGTTGTCTATCAGTTGAAGTCTCTCTACACGGATCAACCGGCGGAGGATCCTGAGGAAATTCTCCTGCTGGAAGGGGTCACCCAAGTTCTGGTAGGACAAATTTAACTCCTGGGAGGAGACAGGTTGTAGAATGGTCAGTCTTCATTTGTATCTCCTCCCTACCTCCATACAGTAACAGTCTCCTTTCTTTTCTTGTGCTCTACTTCCTAAACATTACAGAAACACATTTCTCAAAGAACTTACCTGACAGTTTTCCCAATTCTCCTGAAGCCTCTCCTCCCACCTCGGTCCTCCCTCCTCTCTTCTTTTCCTCCCTCGCTCCAAACAGATGTCACCCCCCTCTCTTTCAAACAGATCCTCTTCTGTTGGCCCTTTTTGATGACATTGTCAGAATCAAAAGTTTATAATACTATTGACATGGAATTAAAGCAAATACAAGGGATACAACAAACTGAATTACTTATGTTTAAGTTCATTAAAACTACGGTGGGTTTTTTTCAGAGCCTGATATTCCTAGATTTAATCATCAGTCAAATAGCTTTTCATTTGAGTTTTATTGTATTACACTGGCAGTTCCCTTTCTGGCTGTCACCAGTAGAGTGTGCTATATGTCTTACAACAAGCATTATCACTCTCCAGAGTGTCGAGTGGTGATGAATGTACATGTGCAGTTACTTTCCAGTTGAGTGACCATCTTGTCTTCGTTACTGTTTTATCTTTTCCAAAAGCGTTCAGTAATGGCATTTTAGGGATAAACGCATTAAACGTGTATTTCTAAATCTATCTATCTCTAAAGATCGAACATCGATCAAAGCACGATATCGGCTGATTAATCGGTATCAGATTTTCTCTCTTCCTAATATCAATATTGGTATCAGCCCCAAAAAACCTATATCGGTTGGGCCCTAGTTTTTTTTTGTAAAGGCTCATTTGAAATGCAGCCTACATAAAACAGGACAGTGTTCCTACAGAAATACAACTGGGAAGGGATTCTCCCAAACAGGGAAGCCACTTCAGTTCAATTCAAACAACGTTATTAATCCCTCTTGGGGCAATTCAGAACAGCTTGTACATAGAAAACATGAATTAAGACATTGTGAGGTTTATCAACAAATTATACAATAGAGCTAAAATATAGAATAGGACCTAAAAGGTGATGTTAAGCAGACCAGACTGGATCAAATACTAATAATACAATGATCATTAGTCAAAAGAATAAAAAGATCAGTGGTGCTACGAGAAGCAGTAAGAAAACTGTATGAAAAAAATCAACTTTCCCTTCAATTCTGAAACAGGAAGTCTAACTGCTCTGCCTTCATTGTGTTTAACTGAAGTAAATGCAGCAAAAGAAGAGCAAAGACTTCTGCTGTGGCTGCATGGATATTTGACAAAGTGCAAAGGTGTTTATTTTATCATGGTGATCCAGACCTTCTCTGACCCTGGGGCAGGTCAGCTGGTCACCTGTGACATCACATTGCTCCAGGCGATGCCACGATACAAACCGGAAACGACTGGATGGAAGCTGACATAAAAAAGAGAAAGATAACAGGATAAATGATGTGGATGAATGGATGTTCTGTACACTCATGATCAGAATGATAATCTACGATAATAAGTTACATTAGGAAGGTTTGAATTTCACAATGACAGCTACCACGCTTGCTTATTTATGAACTTGAGCTCTTCAATGGTAGAATACGTAGATTCATTGACGTGTGGATGTCATGGTATGTTTGGGTATAATTGTTTATCCAAAAAATGTTGCACAGGTAGAAAATTATTGGAGATTGAAAGGTATGAATCTGAATATATTGTGTAATAGCCGTACAATATGATTAGGGATCTCAGTGTTAAAAAGGTTGTATTTCATCTTAGATCAACGAATCAAAATTCACTTATTGAAAGTCAAATTCATTCATTCATGAAATTCACCGGAGACAAATGACACTGCATAATGGTGGCCAAAAGGAGAGGTCTAAAAGGAATGGCTTAGGAGAAAAGGAGACGCACATAAACTTAATCTACCGTAGCTTCCCATTAGTGAAATATAAACGCTGCTTCCTCAGTGTGAACTTAGTATGTAGCCAAAACCAACGGGCCATTTTTAGGTCCATTAACCAATACAGCTCCTTGTGTTAACAAGCTAAAAGCATTCAGGTATTACTCAAACCTCTTCAGATCGAGGCTGTCAGCTGAAGTACCAATGTTTAACAGCCTCCCTCTTTTATCATTCTCTCCTTTAATAAGAATGTTTTCTATGAACCACAGTATCATATCCAACTGCAGACACATAGGTGATCTTTCTGCCTTTAGTATAATCAACAAAACAACTGAATCTACTCAGAGCCCGTCCTGCTAAACATTTGAATACTTTATTTTTCCATTTGTGTGCGTGTGTTGCTTTTTATTCTAGCAATTCCCTCTTCCAGGTGGATATTTT